CTACTAGATATCCAAAGTTTTACAAAACTCTTGTGTTCAAAATGATATGATACCAGCACAACAGCCATTCAGACAGATGAAACAGAAGGACCACGGGCCCAACATAAATGAGAATTTGATATATAAAAGAGGGGAACTGTAAGTCAATGAAAGGTTTACTCAGTAAACAATGTTGGAAGAGCTGGCTACCTAGTTGCAAGAAACTATAGTCCAACCCCTATATTTCTGATCATACACACGAAAATTCTTATAAATCTCAAAAATGTAAAATTTTAAAAAATTACCAAAAAATTCAGGAAAATAAGAACTTCCAGTTGGGATAAGAGAGGTCTTCTAAACCAAAACAGGATACCCAGAAGTCATAAAAGAAGAAAAATTAAACTTCTGTAAAGCAAAATCCAAGAAAGAATAATGCTAAGGAGTCTTTGCTACTTGAGCAGGAAACACCAAGTAATCTCTGGTGACTGCAGAGTGCAGGGGTTAAGAACAGGGGTCAAGAGGCCAGGCTGACTCTCCACAAGTGGCTTCATCTCCTTGAACTTCAGTTTCCTTAGCTGAGAAGTGGAGATAATACCCTCCCAGGCATAGGGTGCCTGTGCAGATTCAATGAGTTCATTAGCTCTTTTATTATTATCCTTCCCACATAGAGAACTGCTACATGTGGACAAGGAAAGGATGCACAAACCCGCCTCCCTCCCACCCCTACCTCCACATGGATGAAGAAGCTGAATAGAAAAGAAAAAGCGATTGGGCAAGAAGCATAGTAAAACATGTTCAAATTCACTAGTAATCAGGGAATGACAACTTCAACACTCTGCATATCAGATTGGCAAAAAATAAACAATGCTGGGAGGAATGTGGGAAACCAGTGTTTTCATACAATCTTGGTGGAAGTATAAATTATCCCAAACTTTTCAGCACAAATACGGTAGAATTTATTAAAGTCTAAATTGCTAATGAAGTTGACCCACAAGTCCACTTACGGAAATCTGCAGAACAGAATAAAAGCTCTAAGCTATAAATATATGTGTACAAGCCTTGTAGTGCTTAGAGTTTACACATACACACAAATATATAAAATAGCAAAAAAAAAAATACATGAAACCTGAATGTTCATAGAGAGAGAAATGGCTAAATAAATTATGATACAACCACATTATGCAACACTAGAGAGGTGTGAACGAAGAGATGAGAACTGTATGAGCTGACAAGAAGGAACATCCATCAACACAGTAAATGATAAACAACTTACAGGAGTAAGATGATCTTACTCTGCTTAAAAAAATTAAAGAAAGTAATACTCTTTAACGACCAAATACCTTTCTATTTAATCATACACACGTGTACCTGTTTGTATTTGTAGAATAAAGCAGGGCACAGACCAAATGGTTAACACTGGTAACATTAGTGGGTAGGTTAGGAGGGGCAGAGACTATTTTTTAAAAAATTTTTTAAATTTCAGCATATTATGGGGGTACAAATGTTTAGGTTACGTATATTGCTCTTGCCCCACCCAAGTCAGAGCTTTAAGCGTGTCCATCCCCCAGACGGTGTGCATGGCGCCCATTAGGTGTGTATATACTCATCCCCCTTCTCCGCCCTCCCTCCTGCCTGACACCTGATGAATGTTATTACTATATGTGCACTTAAGTGTTGATCAGTTAATACCAATTTGATGGTGAGTACATGTGGTGCTTGTTTTTCCATTCTTGGGATACTTCACTTAGTAGAATAGGTTCCAGCTCTATCCAAGATAATACAAGAGGTGCTATATCACCATTGTTTTTTGTGCCTGAGTAGAACTCCATGGTATACATATGCCACATTTTATCAATCCACTCATGTATTGATGGGCACTTGGGTTGTTTCCACATCTTTGCATTTGTGAATTGTGCTGCTATAAACATTCTAGTGCAGATGTCTCTTTCATAAAATGTCTTTTGTTCTTTTGGGTAGATGGGGCAGAGACTATTAATCTTACTTTAGACACATATAATAAATGTTTATGAGAATGTTTACCTTGAATTTGAAATGACTGAATCTTTTTAAATTAACTGATGTAATTTTTTAGAGCAGTTTTAGGTTTACTGAAAAATTAAGTGGAGGCTGGGCACAGTGGCTCACACCTATAATCCTAGCACTCTGGGAGGCCGAGGCAGGAGGATTGCTTGAGCTCAGGAGTTCAAGACCAGCCTGAACAAGAGCGAGATCCCCATCTCTACTAAACACAGAAAAATTATCCTGGCGTCATGGCACATGCCTGCAGTCCCAGCTACTCAGGAGGCTGAGGCAGGAGGATTGCTTGAGCCCAGGAGTTTGACGTTGCTGTGAGCTAGGCTGATGCCACGGCATTCCAGCGTAGGTGACAGAGTAAGACTCTGTCTCTAAAAATAAAATAAAACAAATCTGGTATTGGTGTGTTACATTTGTTATAACTGATGAACGAATATTAATACATCTTATTAACTAAAGTCCATAGTTTACATTAGGACTCACGCTTGGTGGTGTACATTCCACAGGTTTTGACAGATGCATAGCCTCATGTAGTCGCCATCACAGTATCATATAGAATAGTTTCACTGCCCTAACCTTCCCCTGTGCTCCATTTATTCATCCCCCACCCCCAATCACTACCGACCTCCTGGAAACCACTGATCTTATTTCTGCCTCTACACTCTTAACACACAATCTAGCAATCGTACTTTTGGTATTTACCCAAGTGAGTCGAAAGCTTATGTCTACATAAAAACTTGTACACAAATGTTTAGAGCAACTTTATTTAAAATTGCCAAACTTGGAAGCAACCAAGATACCTATGTTTAATATGATAAACAAACTGTGGCACATCCATACAGTGGATTATTATTCAGTGCTAAAAAGCATTCACATCACAAAAAGACATGGGGGAACCTTAGATGCGTACCACTAAGCAAAAGAAGTAAATCTGAAAAGGCTACATACTATTATGATCCCAACTTTCTTAATCTGGTTGTGCTGCTATAACAAAATAGCTGAGACTAGGTAATTTATAAAGAACAGAAATTTGTTTTCTCACATTTCTGGAGCTGGGAAGTCCAAAATCAAGGTGCCAACAGGTTCAGTTGTCTGTTGAAAGCTCTTTTGCTGTGTCCTCCAGAGAGGATGAACACTGTATCCTCACATGGCAGAGGCAGAGGGCAAGAAAGGTGAACCCCCTCTGTCAAGCCCTTTTATAATGGTACCTAATTGCATTCATGAGGGCAGAGCCATCCCCAAGGGCAGGGGAGGGTTGGGGAGGGGAGGGGAGCCAGGCAGAGTGGCACAAAGGGCCTCTGGCACTCTGAAACTGTCCCACATTGGAAACAGTGAAGGATATTAGAGTTTGGCAAACTATGGCCTGTAGCCAAACCCAGGCCACCAACTATTTTTGTTTTGTTTGCATTTCTATATTTTCATTAAAAAAACCATAAGAAGAATATTTCATGACACATGAAAATTACATGAAATTCACATTTCAGTATCCATAAGTAGTTTTCTTGGAATATAGCCACTCTTATTTGTTTACATATTGTCTATGGTTGTGTTTGTGCTCCATTTATTCAACATAGCAGCAGAGTTGAGTTGTTGCAGAGACGGTCTAGCCTGCAAAGCTTAAAATATGATCTAGCCCTTTATATAAAAAGCTTGCTGACCCCACATCAAAGCACTCTCTTTATTTAAGTCAAGACCTTTTTTGTTTGGTGACTATGGAAGAACCCAGCCCTCAAGTCTTCTTCCCCTCCAAGTGCCCCTAAATGTAAGTCTGCTCATGCCACACGTCCAGAGCCTACAGGCAGGTCTGTCTCAGGAAAGACGATCCCACAGGGAGCTAGAGTGGGACAGAGACCTGAGCTCAGTCACTTCTCCTGGCACCCTCGTTAGTGGTGTGCTAAGTAACTTGTATACTAAGTAAACATGAAAGGAACCTGTCACTTGTTAGAGGCAGCACACACTTACAGCAAAACTAATGAACAGTAAGAGATGAACCAAGAGATTGGAGCCAGGAGCCAATCTCACCTATGATTGGAGCCAAGAGCTAATCTTACCAAGACATTACTTACATAATAAAGTAAGGCACTGGAGGTGGCTTTACTTGTCTAAGGCATTCAAAACATGAAGTAATCTACAGTTTTCCAGGAAAATATCCATTATAGGAGATTGGGTTCCATCTCTTGTGTGGTCCTAGGCACAACCCCTGAATTTGCAGGGAGATCACATGGTTCAAGACTCAGAGGGTCCATGCCATGCCTGCTACCAGTGTGACCTGGTATGCTGACTGAGCCTCTTGCAAGCTCAGATTTCTCATCTGCATAATGGGAATCCCACTCCTCATCTCAGTTTTCCATGATGAATAAATGAAAACATAAAGAAAAAGGGCCTAGCTAAGACCGGGACATAGCAAGGATTCAGTTAATTTCATCCTTGCCTTCACTTCCAGGAACCAGCTCACCTCATGTAAATCCCAGGCACGCAGAGTACAGTCTGAGGACACAGTGCAAACCACAGACTTCTCCCTCCCATCGAACCGGCACTCATCGGTAGAGATGTAAGCCAGCTCATCTATTGGTCCTGTAAGAAAACACAGACACAGGTGGCTCAGGATTTTAATACTTAACTTGGTGAAAGGGTAGGCAGGAAAACAATTCCTCTTTCTCTGTCTCAGGAGCATAATGGGTACTCATTCAGGGGACAATGTGGACAGGACAAGAGATAGGGCTTTAGAGTTACAACCAGGTTCTGCTCTCAGGATGGCCCATCAACCACTAGCCACCTTGAACTACTCCCTACTCTCTTAGTTTCTGTCTCTTTCTACTCTGAAATAGATATAATGATCCTTTCCTCACAGGGTGATTATTGCAAAGATCAAATGATATAACACAAATGACATAAACCCAGAAAGATATGTACTCATCAAGTACTGGTTGAAACTCCAAATCCCATGAGACTCGATCCAGAAGAGAGTGAGCAGTGGAAACAGACATAGCAACTACGCTCCCCACTTCATACCTGTATGTCCAGCCATGGCTTTGCAGGTGAAGTCCTCTGGCCGCCCAAATTCCATTCGGAACTCCAGCTCAGATCGGCACAAATAGTACTGTTTCCATGTTTGTGTGCCCAGGACCATCTGGGAGGCTTTGCAGGATGACCAGCGTCTCAGACACAGCTGCCTAAAAAATAAAGCCACAATTTCCAGCAGGATACAGGAATCATGGATGTTGGAGCCAACAGGTCTGCCTTTGAATCCTGGCTTCACCATTTGTAGGCCATGAAACCGCGGGACAACTCACTTTGCCTGTCTAGGCTTCAATGTCCTCTCCTGTAAAATGGGGATAATGTGGAGATAACATCAAGTGAGTACTCACTATATGTCAGACGTGCAGCGCTTTTTATGTATTCAGTGGATCTTCATAACAACCCATGGGAACTCATCCCTATTCTACACATGAGGAGGACACAGAGGCAGAGACAGGTTAAATAACTTACCCAAAGTTATGCAACTGAGATTCAAGAGCCTAAGTTTTGAAATCTCACTCTTATTGCTGAATTGCCTATTTCTCCCTTCAATTCTGTCCGCCCTTCATATATTTTGTTGCTTTATTGTTAGGAGCATGTTTACAATTGTATCTTCTTGATGGATTGACCCATTTATCATTATAAGACTTCCGTATTTGTCTCTAGTAACACTTTCTAGCTTAAAGTCTATTTTGCCTAATATTAGTATAGCCACTCCAGTTCTCTTTTATTGTTTGCATGGTATATCTTCTTCCATTCTTTTATTTTCAACCTATTGTGTCTTTGAATCTCAAGTGTGTCTCTTGTAGACAGCATAAAGTTGGATCACTTTTTTTATCCATTCTGCCAATCTCGGCATTTTTATTGAAGTGTGTAATCCATGTAATTACTGACGAGATAGAACATACATATGTTATTTTGCTATTTTCTAGGTTTTATCTCTTTCTTATTTCTATTCCTCCACTACTACCTACATTCGTGTTAAACATTTTCTACTGTACTATTTTAATTCCCTTATATCTTCTATTATATTTCTTGAATTACATTTTTAGTGGTTGCTTTGGCGATAACTTAAATCTTAAGTATAACAATCTAGTTTTCCTCAATACCAACTTAATCAATAGTATGCAAACAAAATCTTTGCTCATATATTGCTCCATTTCCTCCCTGCCTCATTTGTGCTGCTATTGTTAAACAAATTACAACTTTATATACTATGTGCCCATCGACAGAGATTTGTACTGACTGCTTTATGCAGTTGTCTTTTAAATCAGGAGAAAAAGAGTTACAAACATTAAATACATTTATTTATACTACGTTTTATATATGTCTATAGTCACCTTTACTGGTGTTATTTCTTCATGTGGATTCAAGTTATTGTCTAGTGTCCTTTCATTTCCTTTTAGTATTTTTTTGTAGACTCTTCTTAGTATTTCTCATAAGGTAAGTCTATTAGCAACAAACTCTCTGAGCTTTTGTTAATCTAGTAATATCTTAATTTCTTCACTTTGGAAGGTTTGTTTGCTAGACGTGGAATTCTTGGTGATAGTCTTTTTTCCTCAGCACTTTGAAAATGTCATCCCCACTACCTTCTGAGCTCTATGGCTTTTGATGAGAACTTAGTTGTTAATCGTATTGGGGTCCCTTTATATGGGAGTTGCTTTTCTTTTGCTACTTTCAAGAATCTCTGTCTTGGGCTTTTGACAATTTTATTATAGTATATCTTAGTGCAAAATCTTTCCATTTATCTTACTTTGTCTTACTTGCAGCCCACTGAGATTTTGGATGTGTAAATTAATGTTTTCCCATCAAATTTGGGATGTTTTCAGCCATTACTTCTTCAAATACAGATGCTCCTCAACTTACAATGGGATTACATCCTAATAAACCCATCAGAAATTGAAAATATGGTAAATGGAAATGCATTTACTACACCTACTCTACCAACCCATGATATTAATAGCTTAACCTAGCCTACCTTAAATGTGCTCAGAATACTTATATTAGCCTACAGTTGGGCAAAACCATCTAATGCAAAGCGTATTTTATAATACAGTGTTGAATATATCATGAAATTTATTGAATACTTATGTATGGTTTCTACTGAACACATATCACTTTTCGCACCATTGTGAAGTCAAAAAATTGAAAGTCAACCATTGTAAACTGGGGACCATCTATATTTTGTCTTCTTTCCCTCTTATTCTGGAACTTCTCTGTGAGGTTTTATGCTTGATTGTGTCCCATAGGGCTCCTAGGTACTGTTTTCTTGGGTTTTTTTTTTTGTCTTTTGAGACAAGGTCTTGCTCTGCTACCAAGGATGGAATGCAGTGGTGCAATGAGAGCTGACTGCAACCTCAAACTCCTGGGCTCAAGTGATTTTCCCACCTTGACCTCTCAAAGTGCTAGGATTTCAGGCATGAGCCACGTCGCCCAGCCAGCACTGTTCATATTTCATTCTTTACACTCATTGTTACTCAGACTGGATAATCCCAATTGACCTATCTTCACATTCACAGATTCTTTCTTTTACCTGCTCAAATCTGTTAGTGAGGCCCTCTACTTTTTCATTTGTTATGTATTTTTCAACTCCAGAATTCCTATACTTATTTTATAATTTCTATTTCTTTATTAGTATTCTATATTGGTTGAGACATTGTCCTCACACTTCCCTTTAGTTTTTTACATATGGTTTCCTTTAGTTCTTTCAAGATATTTTAAATTGATGATTTAAAGTATGTCTAGTAAGTCCAATGCCTGGGGTTCCTCAGGAATGGTTTCTATTGTTGCTTTGCTTTCATGTTTCTTTGCATGTCTCATAACTTTTGTTAAAAACTGAACATTTTAAATAATATTATGTGGCAACTCTGGAAATCAGATCACCCCTGGTTGGTTGTTATTGTGGTGTGTTAATGTGCTTGTTTAGTGATATTTCTGAACTAATTCTGAAAAATCTGTATTCTTTGTTATTTGTGGCCACTGAAATTTCTGCTCAATTACATTAGTGCTTACTAATGACTGTACAGAGATTTCCTTAAGTGTCTGGAAGCAGCAAGTCTCCCAGTCTTTGCCATGGGGCTCTGTGCAGAGGCTGGGGCCACCTTCAATACTCAGCAGGGCAGTTGATGACTCCATCTTAGCTTTTATTTCCTGCTTGTGCAGAGCCTCAGGGCTAACCGGGTATGTAAGAGTTTAGGACCTTCTTAAGTCCTTCCTGAAGCTTGCACACAGCCCTGGGCATGCACGTGGCCCTTTATATTCTTACGAATGCGTTAGAGTTTTTCAAAACCCTTAAGGATATCTCATTCCCCAGCTTTTCCTTTCAAGTTTTTGGTTAGCCTATTTTTTGCCCAACTGTTATCTATCAGATCAGCTAGCCACAAAATTAACCAGATGTCTACAATTGTTTCAACAAACACCCCAAAGTAAATGGGGTTTTTTTTGCAGTGGGGAAATGCCATGTCAGGTCAAATAAAGACAATTCTGTGGGAATAGGCTTTCAAGGATCTCCAATCCCATTCTTCACCCTCCAGTGACTGCCAGGCTCAGCTCACTGTGATTGTGAGCCATAGATATCCAAAGCTCACACAGAGCTAGAGAAGGGTTTTGGCAATAGGGCCACTCTTGCTGAGATTCAGTCATTTTTCTTGAATAAAGACTTCCCTGATTGCTGCAAACCTTTGGTTATTTTCAGAGTTCTGAAAAAGCTGATTTTGATCCTTGCCAATTTTCTCACTGCTTTTGTGGAGAAAATTTCCAGAGGTCATTACTCTGCCGTTTTCTAAGAGTCTGTATTCTTAACTTCTATGTGACTGTTATCAACTTTATGCTAGCACATCTCTGCCAAGGTTATTGATAAAATGTTAACTCACCCACACTGTAAACAATTACCAAACACCTACCTAATCTGTGGGCCCCAAAGTGAATTAGAGCCCTTGCCCTAATAGGCACTCTCAGCTGGTGATAAGGAGGAGGATAAACAAAACTAAAACTCAGGGAGAACTGCTAAGTTTCAAAAAAAAGGAACAGCTCATGGTGCTATGGGCGTTAGGCACAAGGAGACTGGACATCTGGCTGGAGAGGGATAGGAAGGCTTCATGGACAGAGACTTTCAGCATTTATGTGGCATCCTCTGGCTACAGTCTAGCACTCATATCTCAAGAAAAGGAAAATGAGATCAGATGGGAAATAACTGTTTCATAGCCCCATGTTTTAAACAAGACCACCACAAAGTTTGTCTCTACCATCATACTTGTACATCCATTGAGCACCTATGCATCAGGCTCTCTGCTAGCCCTGGAGAGCTTTTAACACACTGAGAATTCCAGTACCCACGTGGGACAAAGGTTTACTGTGCTTGCTGAGTCTTTGGTCTTTCTACCAGAAATAGCACACTAACAGTCAGTGGGCAGAACAGTTTCCAGATTATTTTATTTGGCCTGCATAGGATTTGCCCACATAAACTAGCTGCCAAACCTTAAAAATTATGAGATTTTTAATAAAAAATTAGATAAAAACAGAAGGTCCAGCAAAATACCGAACCCAAATTTGCCCCTAGCAAAGTATGTCTGGAGCCACATGGAGGTATACCCTTTAGATGAGGACAATTCACCAGTCATCATTCCTTTCATCTCCTATATTATTTTATTTATTTATTTTTTTTTTGAGGCAAGGTCTCACTCTCTTGCCTGGGCTAGAGTGCTGTGGTGTCAGCCTAGCTCACAGCAACCTCAAACTCCTGGGCTCAAGCGACCCTCCTGCCTCAGCCTCCAGGATAGCTGGGACTACAGGCACATGCCACCGTGCCCGGCTAATTTTTTCTATTTTTAGTTGTTTGGCTAATTTCTTTCTATTTACAGTAGACACGGGGTCTCGCTCTTGCTCAGGCTGGTCTTGCACTCCTGAGCTCAAGCAATCCTCCCGCCTCAGCCTCCCAGATTGCTAGGATTACAGGCATGAGCCACCGCACCTGGCCTCATCTCCTGTATTCTGACGTTGAGTGTCAGTTGCTTTATACCATCACTCTTATACTGTTGATTTGCTTTTAGTTGAAAAAAGAAGTGAAATACTTCTTGTATCCATACACAATATTATGATTGATTATATATATGTGTGTATATATATCATACACATATACATACATATATATGTATAAAAAAAAAGAGTTTGTGTATTTTTGACCACGGTTCCTGGCTAGTAACTCCCATAGCCCTTGTTGGTCTTTTTGTTATATTTACAGCACTTTAGACCTCAGAAGCAGGTCTCAGGAAAACAGAATCTCTCTTTCTGACCTTCTCCTGTCCTCCTGTCCAAAAGCAGTAATCTAATCTGATTGTGAGCTGAAAGACCTTTATTCCAAAGGGGGTCTTGCCCCATACCCTGAGGAAAGAATGCTACACAGAGGGGCCAAGAAGAATCTGAAGAGACAAGCCTTGCTGCGTTTCCCTATTCAAGTCTATTAGTATTAGATCTTACCCTTTTTGTCCAATCACATTACAAGGCTATCCATGTTTCAATCATGTCTATCCAATGAAGTCTCCATAAACGGCCCAAGGGACTGGGTTCAAGGAGCTTCTGGAGAGTTAAACGCATGGAGGCTTACAGGAAGGTGAACAAGAACTCATCACATGTTGGGAGGGTGGCATACCCCAACTCCATGGGGACAGAAGCTCCTATGGTTGGGACCCTTCTAGACCTTGCTCTACCTATCTCTTCATCTTATTTGTATCCTTTAAAATAAACCAGTGAATGTGTTTCCTTGAGTTCTGTGAGCTGCTCTAGCAAATTAATCAAACCAAAAGAGGAGGTCACCAGAACCCCACCTTGAAAGCAGCTGGTCAGAAGTTTTGGAGGCCCAGACTTGTGACTGGTGTCTGGGTTGGGGGACAGTCTTAGTGACAGAGCCCTCAACCTGTGGGATCGATGCTATGTCCAGGCAGGTAGTGTCGGAATTGAATTGGAGGACACCCTGCTGGTGCCCACTGCAGAACTGCTCGCCTACTTGTAGTGGGAAGAAACTCCTACACATTTGGTCACAGAAGTCTTCTGTGTTGATTGTTATTGTGGTGTGAGAGTAGAAGAAAAACACGGTTTGAGTCGTTTTTTTCTCCTCATACCATATTTCAGTCTGAACAGTTTGAAAATAAAAGCTAGACTAAGATGATAATGTGGTTTAAGAAAAGGGGGAGAAGGCACATTTCTTTGTGGAAGTGAAATCTATTTCTTCATGTATAAGGGCAGTATGCACCACACCACAGTGAAAACTGTAACCAATATTCTGAAAAGAAATAAGAAAACCAAATGATTTGACCAAAAAAGAACACAAAAAGGTGGACATCAACAGGTTTAAAGTATGAATATGAATAAAGTATGTGCTCTGCCTCTGAAATACAACGATGCATCCAGTGAAAAAATATCTTGGCACCAAAACCTTTCACAGCAACTAAGAAAACAATCAACTGTACAAAACAAAAATGATCTACTTTAAATAAAATAAATTTGCAGTTTTACTTTTAACCAAAAAGCTCACACTTAGAATGTTGATGACAGGATTAAAAAGATCACAAAGCATTCAAAATAGTAACTTGTAGCATTTTCAATTGAAACTGTATAATACAGATTAAAAATATATGACATGGTTAACCATGTTTATTTACTGTGTCCATGAAAATTGCAATGGGCTTTTGGACATGGTACCCACAATAGGCACAGCACCAGCATCAGGAGATAACACATGCCGGTGACCACAGGTGATGATGTCCCTGGAATGCTGTTGTCTGGGCTTAAAAAACATAAACCCAGTGTTTTTACAAGCACATGGGTCAACATCACAAGGTATGTTCTATGCTAAAAAGTTCAACACCAAACACTATGAAATATTAATGAACTGAAAATCCATTTGTGAGCTGGCTTGCAGACAGCTGAAGAATTTGCACAAGGAACCTGGAAGCACAACACGGAAACATATGATACTACATGGAGGTAATGTGATGTGCTAAAGAGGATTTTTTTAACTACTCAAAGAAATACACATTTCACTCAAATGGAAAAGTCCTAGCCTGGCTTATCAGCAAAAATAACAAAGGCTAGGACTGGGATTGGCATCCTGCCCACTTAAACATGTGAATATTCTTCTGCAAGGGCTTCCATAAATAGATATACCAATCCATGAGCCAATTTATTTATTCCTAATGAAACAATTTCTTTGAAAAACACATTTGGCAAGACATAATCTTGTCCACATACCTAGAGAGATATCAATTTCCAGAACTGAATTTTATGCCTAGACTATATTCCCCAAATTGTAAATACTGAATTCCAATAAAAGTTCTTTTACTTCAAAAGTAAGCAGATTTTAATACTGTTTTCCATTTAATATTAGTAATAAAAAATTAATAAAAAGCAACAAACAGAATACTGCTATATGATGATGAAAACTAAATATGCCAAGATTGACATTCTAGAATTCTCAACTATCCCAAGGCATAGTTAACCTACAGGTAAAAACAAAGACTTCCTCCATGTTTCAAAGAACATGGGTAAATAGCTGTTTTCCATCATGAGGGACTAAAATTAAACATAGCTCCTAGATGACAATCAAGGCTGTACTGTATTTAGCAAGAGGTTGGAGATCTGACAGTTACTTTTTTTTCCCCAGCTCCTTACAGTTCTGCCTTGGTACAAAAGAAAAGATGTCAGGTTCCAAAGGAAGAATAAATAAGAAAGAAAAATTTAGTAATTTATTGATTACAATGTTTATTTTCAACTTTAATTTCTTTCCACTTTATCTTTATGAGTTCTAATATCATACTTTGCTATGTTGTTATGCTAAAGGTGAATTAAAATAATAGTTTGATCATATTTCTCTTGATTTGTCTTCTATTACCCTGCTGCTTTGATTTGCTGTCCATTGGCAACCCTACCTGATACCAATCTTCCATTTGCGTAATAAAATCTTTCATTTCTGCCAAAAAGTCCCTGAAAATCATCAGCACCATGGCAGGGGATCTTACTGGGGGTTGTTTTTCCCTTTTAGGCCTTCCTGAGGAGGGGAAGGTCATCATGTGTCCCTTTCACCTCACAAAGCACCCCACACAGCCCCTCCGGGCCCATCTCCCTCTACCCCAAAGCGCACCAAAGACATCGTTCCCTCCTCCTTCTCCTTCCCCCACTTAGCTGCTACAACCTAGGTCAGATTTTTGTGCACACATGTCAGTGTGCGTTCTCTGTGTTGGTGGCTGACAAACAGCCCCCAGAAAGCAACCTATGTGTGTCTCCTCACACAGGATGCCTTGGTTGCAGGAGCCAGCGCAGCCTCCTAGCAGAGCTGTGCCGGCTTATTGACCAGACTCCTCTCTGCCCGACACCCTCACCCTTCCCAGTCCCCTCCTCCCTTCCATCCTTCTCTGTCTCCCAGCCCTGTCACCACCACCAACAGTCAGTCTCCTCTTCCTCCTCCAGGCTTCTCTTCTTTTACACCTTGGGGAGAAATCCAAATCCTTTCACCTCAGGGAAGAAAACAGGGTATTTGGGGTGGGGATGAGGAAGATGAATGAAGGGGCAGTAGGAGAAAGGGGTGCAGAGGGCTTTTACAAATCATCTGTGAGGCTGGGCATGGTGGCTCATGCCTGTAACACCAGCACTTTGGGAGGTAGAGGTGGGAGGATCACTTAAGGCCAGGAGTTCAAGACCAGCCTGGGCAACATAGCAAGACCCCATCTCTACAAAAAATTTTTTTAAAAAATGAGCTGGGTGTGGTGGGGCACACCTCTAATTCTCCTACCTAGTTACCCAGGAGGCTGAGGCAGGAGTTTGAGGCTCCAGCCTGGGCAACACAGCAAGATCTTATCTCTTACAGAAAAAAAAAAGGTGTTTGATGCACAACCAGTACAGTGCTAGAGGGGAAGAAAAAAAAAAATCTCTATATCTCAATATTCAGAAGAAGAGTCTTACAACCCCAACCAGGGAGAAGTTTCCTGCTGGTAGGGGCTGTGGGTAATCCTTTCTTTTGTACTCAACAGAGCCAAAAATACAGAGTGCTCAAAAGACTTATCCGGTGCACCCATCTCTCCTTCGTGAGGCATTCTTCTTTGCGGGACCACCTTTGGCTCTTCCTTCACTCACCTCCACAGTTCCTTGGTCCTTGAAACCTCATTCCAGACCTACAACAAGAAGGAGAAAAGGGTAAGTCAAAAGGCAGTTAGCACCTAGCCTGCCAGGCCCTGTGGAGGGGACAAATAGCTATAAATCAGACCCAGTATCTGCACACAAAAAAACTTACCCTAGGAAATCAGAGACAATTAAAAACAATGACAAAGAAAAGAGACAATGACCAAATCAATGGGGGTGAATGGTGGAAGGCTGAGGGGCACAGAGAACTGATTACTGATCAAGTCCCAAAGGAGAGTAGCCATCTTCTAAGAACGGCTGAAGCACTGCAGGGAGAGACAGAAGAGCCAGGCAAAGATTCCTAAGTGTGGAAAAGATGGGTTAGTAATTTGCCTTAATGAGAACCTAGGGTCCTGGATGGAGAGGAATGGGAAAGGGAGCTGGGGATGTGTAATGGCAAAAATAGTGAGAAGCTGCTTGAGGATTTTGAACAGAGTGGCAAGGTGCAGCTGTGCTTTGCGAAGATCGCTCTGGCTGCTGTGACAAGGACTGAAAACGAGAGCAGGGAAGTAGGCCTCCTAGAAAGGCTGCTGTAAGGGAGTAAACTGAGGCACTGGCCACAGGGATGTTCTCAAAATGTTGAGATGGTTTGATGGGAACAGCCTGGGGGGCGGTGGTACTATGCAGGCCCTGTTCCCACAACTGCTCCAGATCTGCAGAAGTATCTGCAATAGGCTCAGGATGATTCTGTGAAACCGGGATCAGGGTGCCAGACATCTCCCTCCCTCAGGCCCAGGCCTCCTGGAACTTCCTGCCCTCTCCAGCTAAACTGCCCTGGATTCTGGAGCCTACAGAGTTTTAGTGGGTAACTTTCTAGAGCCTTCAGTAGTCCAGCCCCTCTGAGCATCCCATCCCAGAAATGTGGCTTTCCAAGCCCTGGCAGAAGCATTTCAACAGCCCTCACCCACCTGCTAGCTCAAAGTTTCTCAGCCTTTAAGAAGTCTTTTTTGGCTAGTAGGGATGTAAAGTTTATATTTGGCAAAATCCAATCAGGCGAGAAGATCTGTGAATTTTCTTTTCATGTAGTTTCTAGTTCAAAACTCAACTGTAATTTTATTTCCCAAATAATTATAATATGTGGAATATCCATTCCAAGTTGGAGGAAAAAGAAAAAAAAAGAATTATAACATGTATTAGTAACATACGCTACAAAATAAATGCTACCTACCGTTGAGGATCCTTCTGTTGGATCCTGGCCTTCACAATGACACCATGAGGAGGAATTACTAATCTCATTTTACCTACGGGAAAACTATGACCCAAAGAAGTTGGTGCTACCAAAGGATATGAGGCACCTCCCTGCCAAACTCTGCCCCTAAATTACCCCTAGCCTACTGCTATGAAGACAGCCAAGGATCTAATTCTAGCCCTGCACATGACTTAGTGGGTGACCTTAGGCAAATCATTCTGTGATACTCAGTTTTTTTACCATAAAAATGGGGATGAAAAGATGAAAACCCAATATTTTTCTTGATATATTTAAAATTATGGTATTCCAGTAAGGACCTGTTAATATTTTTGTAAAATGAGATAATAATGTATTTTAAATTCCTTAAAAAATTAACAACTGAAGGGACGCTAAATATCAAGTCATACACGGGGCTCCAGGGACAGTGATGGAAAAGACAAAAATCCCTCTATTAGGAATGAGTCTAGCTGGGAAAAACAAATATTAAACACATACATTGCACAAATAATCATTTAATTTCAGTTGTGCCGAGTCCAGTGCACCTGTCACCCGCGGGTGGTAGTGCAGCGGAGGGCAGCCGACATTGATTCACTAACAGGTACTTGGTGAGCACAGCCATGAAGGAAACGGCGAGATGAAGGCAGAGAACGCAAGTGACTGGGGAGGACACCCCGGAGATGGAGGGATTGAGGAGGCATCATGGGGAGAAAAGGGAACGTGGCTTTCCGGGGTCAGGGTAAGCAAAAAGCCCAGAGAAAGGAAATTCCAGAATATTCCAAAAGGCGGGAGTGGAAAGAAAAATGATCGCCCCTCAGCCAATCTGAGGGGTGGACCTTGACGGCAGGGAGAGTGCGCCCTATCTTGTTCACAGTCGGCCAGCGCAGGCGCTCTGGGGGGACGGACTGGACCTCCTGCAGCCGCCGAGCGCCCTCTGCAACATCACGGGTTCAGAGCGGCCCGACGCCCTCCCCTCGCCGACGGGGAAACTGAGACCCCAGGGGAGAAGCGCCTGGCCTTGGACACGCCGGCGACAACGAGCACAGGCCCAGCCTCCCGCCCTGAACAGAGCTCGTTACCTTGTTCACCTGTGCGGCGGAGAGCAGGTCTCGGGCCTCCAGGAATGAGAAGACGTGCAGCAGCTCGTGCGGACCCAGCCGCGGCTCCATCTCGCCGCCTCGCCCCGCCGCCTCCGTCCGGCGCGCCCTCGCCGCGCCTCCGCCCCGCCCAGCCCGCCGCGCTGGCGTCCGCAAGGCCCGCTGCAGCCCGCCCTGCGTGGCCGAACCCCCTCCACCCTGCCGTGCTTCCGTCCCGCTTCCACCCCACACAGCCAGCGCCCGCCCCCGCCATGTCGCACTTTAGCCCGCAGGCTAGCCCCGCGCGTCGCGCCGCACTTCCGCCCGGACGGCCCACTGCACTTCCGCCCTGCAGGGCCAAACCGCACACACCCTGCTGTGCTTTCCCTCCGCAGGGCCGGCCCCGCCCGGCCGCGTTCGCCTAATCCTGCGTGAAAGAGTTGGCCGGCCCAGCTTCTCCCTGTCCACCAACTTGCCCCTGCCCTTGCCCTTGCCTTGGCCCACCTCTTGTACTAGCATACGCCTAGCTCTTAACCAGTTCCTGTTCTTCACCTTAGCCGTGACCCTTGCCCTTGCACTGGCCTTCATCTGCACCCTGCGGTGGTCTTGAACCTCCCCTTAACCTGGTGCTGGCCCTAACCCTTGACTTTGCCCTTGCCAATAAACATGCCCTGTCCTGCATCTCGACTTGACCTTTAACCTGGGCTTGGCCCTGGCCTTCACCCTGACCCTGTTCCTCAACCGTGTCCTGTACATCACCAGCATCTGCCACTTAGCCTTTACCCTCGTTCCAACCCTCACCTGACCCTGCCCTTCATTGTAGATTCACCAGGCCTAAACCTCACAATGAGGGCAATGCCCTGGTCCTAACGTTCACTGTTCCTGACCCTACCATTGGCCATCTTGCTGGTCCTGTCCTCGGCCTTCATCTTCATCCTGACTATGGCCCTAGTTAAGGCCTTGGCCATAATCCTGACCCTCACCTACACCTGGTTCAGGCCTCATATACTGCTGGTAAGAGTGTTCTTACAACCACTTCGAAAGACTGGCATTTTCCACTAAAGATGAATGTACACACATGCGCACGCGCGCACACACACACACACACACACACACTCTATCACCTAGTAATTCACTCCTTAACAGGAGTGTATGTATGTTCACCAGAGGCATACAGAATGTTCATAGCAGCATTCTTTTTAATAGCTCAATTTTGAAAACAACCCAAATGTCTATAATAGAATGAATAAATAAATTGTGGAATAGTCACCCAAGGGAGCACTATATAGTAATGATAATAAAGTATCACTACTGACACCAACATGGATGAATGTCAAATACAATGTTGAGTGAAGAAGCCAGACTAAAAAGAATACATACTGTACCATTTATACAAAATAAAAAATTATAGTATAAGAAATAAGGAACATAGTAAACCCTGGGAACATACCTAGAAGGGGAATGAAGGGCTTAGGGGAGCTTTTAGCAGCTACAAACTTATAGCTTGTGCCCTCTTAATACTTAAAAAAGATGGGGACATATGTAAACATATGAATACAAATACTTTGTGAAGGGTCATTTTGTGCATCATATCACAACACAAAGACTACTATGGTTATGGGAATATGGTAGTTATTCCGCTGTTCTCTTGAAGAAATGCTCAAAGGAGATCATCATCTCAATTGACACAGAAAAAGACTGACAAAATTTAACACCCTTTAATGAAGAAGGCAATCAACAAACTAGGAATAGAAGGAAACCACCTCACATAATAAAGGCCAAATATGAAGAGTCCACAGCTAACATCATATTCGATGGGGAAAGACTGAAAGTTTTCCCTCTACAATCAAAAACAAATCAAGTTTTGAGCTTTCCCTGGGTAGCTAAAAAAAAAAAAGTCAAGGATACCCACTTTTGCCACTTTCATTTAACATAGCACTGGAAGTCCTAGCCAAAGCAATTAGGCAATAAATAAATAAATAAGTAAATAGCGTCCAAATTGGAAAGGAAGAAAGAAAATTATCTTTGTTCAGGGATAACATGATTTTATATGTAGAAAACCCTAAAAAGTGCTTGTTTGTGCCAGTAGGAAAAGCAAGGAATAGTTTAAGTAGAATTTCAGCTTTGGGTGTTGAAGGTGGGGAGGAATGTCTCTCCTTGAGATTGTCCTGGGGAGAAAGGTTTCTCGATTCCTGGTTTACAAGACCAGAGTAACAGATTATACTGCAAGGACTCTTCGTTTAAATATCTTGTCTTCAATGAGGCTGACTTGTTGGTATAAAGATAAAAATAACGAAGAAAAGTAAGATAGATGCTATTTGATTATAATGAAGGGGTGTTCAACAGGTCATCCTCCAATTCATGTGCGGCTGAGGAGGTGGGCTACTAGGATTCAGTATAGGCATTGACTAAGAAGTCAGAATATTATGCTTTGTTGTTTGGCTGTGTGGATGGAGTACAGGGATAATAGCTAGGATTGGGATGGAGATGACTTGGGCTAGTACTCCTATTTTGCTAGGGATAGATCGTAGGATCACATAGGCAAACAGGAAATATCATTCTGGCTTGATATGGGGTGGAATGCTGAGAGGGTTGGGGAGAGTATAGTTTACCAGGGTCTCCTAACAGGTGTGCTTCTGGACTCTGAAACGATAGCCTCCAAAGGGTTGCCCTGTGCTTTCGAAGAACCCTTTGGTGGCTGGAGCCGGTTGTGGTCGGGCGCCATCTGGCGGCCGCTTTGATAGAGGGGGCGTATCCTCTGAGGCTCCGGTACCTCAGGCGAGGTGGGCGGGCTTCGTCATGATCCTTCGGCTGAATCCAGAGGGTGGGCGCAACATCTCTGAGTCAGAGCTTGGGCTGGCAGGGTGAGAGGGGAGAGGGTGTCCACACTCTCCCTCCTCCAGCCAGGTATGTGGTGGGTCTTGCAGGAACGCAGTGCTACAAGCCGCAGGTAGACAGAACCTCCAACTCCCCACCGACCCGGGAATGGAACAACCCACGCCACTGGCCACCACTAGGCGTCAGGCCGAGGTGCTCCTCAATGATCCCTTCCGGCAGGTTCCACCTAAGGAAAATCATGGGGTAGGACCTTGATTTCTTTCTAGGCAAGTTTGATTCTCCAACTCAGAGCCTGTGCGCCGAGGGGCCATGGGACGGACGATCCCCACGTGGCCCATCCACCGGGCCTCACAACTCAACCATACCATTGCTATATAAGTGACAAGTGGCGTTTACAAGGTGCAGGAACTCAATGCAAGCTTAAGACCCACACTTACTACTGGGCATTCCCACCTTCCTGGGGAATGAGCAATTTCCAATCCCCATCGTGAACCGGGTGCAAAGTGTTACCCGCACATAGAAGGCCTGGAGGATAGACACACGTGCAAGCCCGAGACATCAAAGGGCATCACACACAAGATGCCTTGGATGCCACTTGTCCCTCTAAGCAGTTGGGGGATGGTAACCCCTCAGTGTTTACAAAACTAGTGAGTATGCATGTCAGAGAGTCTAGTTCATTACTGGGATTACCCAGACAAACCTGGGTCTGTTGCATGGTTGCCTTTGAGTCTGGGCTGGTTTTTGAGTCCTGTTTATGTGTTTTCTAGGTTGTGTGCCCGTTTTGCGCCCCGTCGTGTCTTTTCAAGGCCTTGATGTTGTGTTACCCTTGCCATGTGGGGTCCTGTTCATTCGCCTCGTCTGCCGACTGCCCGTGAGTGCTCCATCCCCTGTGCTTAGATGAGCTGCGGCTTTGTTTTAATAGAGGGTGTCACCCTGGCGTGTGCCCCTCCTGTCAGCAACATCCCTCCACAATGAGGCTGTGGTTGTATCCACGTTTGACCAATTGGTTTGGGCCCCCTGTGTGGCAGAGGAATGACATGGAGGTGGGTTGGTGTGTGTGTGGAAGAGAGGCTTCTCAGGGGACTGGATGCAGCAGCAACATTGGGGATGTGGGTCATAAGAGAGTCATGTGTTGATGGATGCCCAAGGCCAGCCAGTTGTTCCAGGTGCTCTGGGGCAGCCCCTGTGCCTGGTAGGCTACTGGTGGTGAAGACCCTGTGTGAGTCCTGGCTGCTGTGGTCTTTCCAAGGCTTCACTTGTCCCTTGTGGCACATGGTGGCCTCTCCCCCTCACCTTCTGCTTCTCTCATCAGGCTTCTGACCTGGCTCCCCTCCACACAATGTGCATCGCTCCTGGGGCTGTTGCTGCCCCTCCCATAGTCTGCCACCCAGCAGTGGCCCCCCTGTGTGCGTTGATGTGTTGGGGGTGCAGTGGCCACTTTGGTGTGTGCTTGTGCCCGAGTGTTGGCCATTGTTTCTGGCCAGTTGCTCTGAAAGTTTGGGTCCATTTTGTGCACTTACATGCCATGGACGGGGGACCACTGTCACCCTCCACCCCTTGTCTGTGGTATAATGGTCCTCCTCTGTGGTGGCCTGTGCCATGTGCGAGTGAGCCATTCAGTGGGCTCTGCCTCTGCATAACTGCTGTCAGCCTGCCCTCTTGTGAGTGTTGGAGGGGGTCGATCAGGGGTCTGTAGTGCTGCCCAACTGCCTCCTCCTGTGGCGGTCATGCTAATTTGCCCATGTGCTTTGTGGGGGCGCCCTCCTTCTCTGTACATCCTTAAAGATCCCCCTGGAGGTTGCCCATCTGCTTTGTGGGTCAGGGTGGGTGGTTGGGGGGTGGGAAGGGCTTACCTGGACCTTGTCACTAGGACACTTTCCCTCAGTACTTGTTAGAGTATGCACACGTGTATGCGGGTGCTGTGCACCATGTGAGAACTTTTAATGACCTTTGGGATCCTGTTACTGAAAGGCAGGAATTGATAGTAGGAGAATGTACTTTTGTTTTGTGTAAAACACAAAAACTGTTTTAGATTAAAAAAATGTGTTCTCTTTGATTTTAACTAATGCCATTTGCTTCTGTAACTGTGCTTGCTTTTAGTTGTTAGTCAAATATAGTTAAAAAAAAAAAAACAAAAAAAAACAAAAACAGGGCAGGAGTAACTCCATGGCAGGCTAAACTTCCCAGAGTAGGCCTAAGTCTCAGTCCCCCTTCCCAAACACAGATCCAATCTAGCGCCGACACAAAAATTAAAA